AAATTTTTTTTTTTTTTTTTTTTTGGTTTTTCTCCGGTACCGGGAACCGAACTCACGACCTTGCGCTTGCCAGGCAGGCGCTTTGCCGCTGAGCTAAATCCCCAGCCCCTCCTGACTGAAATTTTTTAAAAAATATTTAAGGTTCTGTAATATATTTTGTACCCCTCCACTACCAAAGATCTGAATCTATTGTGTATAAAATACATTGTTTTAACTATAAAACTTTGAAACCTTAACTGCTCCATCTCATCTAAAACATCCATTGCAAGAACTGTAAATAAGGAATTCTAATACAACCATAGAAACACTCAGAAAAAACAAATACTGGCCATGGCTACTTTTCAGCTCAGTGTGTATATGTACCCTCAGACACAAGAGCTGCCATCCATAAGTGAAATAAATCAGATCCGCATGTGTAAATACCATATTGTCTCACTAGTATAAGAATCTGAAAGAGTGAATATAACTTAAAAGGTACAATAGATATTATGAAAGGGAAAAAAAACTGCTCAAAAGGCTAGAACTGGGATGAGGGAAAAGAGAAAAGAAAGAAGAGAAAAAAATATGTATATATTATATACACACAAGACAGCTAAGATAATTGCACTACTAATATCTATTGCTTTAGGCAAAGGAACAGTTAATGTTTAATTGTCTGATCAATCTTACATGACTATATTTATTTAAATGAGTAAACAACTTGAAGATTACAATATGTAATACGGCAACCATTGTTAATTTCTTATCACCTTGTCTGAAATTCTGTATTGCTTTTATTGTTTTGGTGTAGTTTTGTTCATGTCTGTTTGTTTGTCTATATGTTTTCTTTATTTAATCTTTAAAATCAAAAAAAAAAGAGCTGCCATGACACTTGGGCCTGCCATTCTCTCTCTCCTTTTCATTCTCAGCTCTGACTTCTGCTGTGTTGTCTTATTTTTTGAGGATGGCTCCCTCTGTGCAGTAGCACTCTATAATGACCAGACTCCTGGTGGCAAGGGACTTGGTCTCTCTCCCACCTCTCCCCCACTTTCTCTCTGGTTTCAGATGTAGAATTCTATCTCATGATTGCAAAAGTTTTTTGTGAACTCTATGGTGGTCCCAAGCCAAGATGTTGCTTAAACTAGGACCACAAGGTATATGAATGTGAATTCCTACCTCAGTATCCCATGGAAAGGTCAGGGCTATGTACTCCAACACTATGGCCATACTCCTTTGAAATTAAAGGGATTCATCCAATCTGTCCAGTTTATCAGGATCAGTACGTAAGATTTTAGGAGGAGGTGACATGGACAAAGAGTTGTCAATCAGGAGGAAGGAGACAGGTAGTACACAAGCCATGATGGCATGCCCAGAAGTATTAACACACGTTAAGATGTAAAGACCGGAAAATGCAATTACACAACATGGACAGCCAACTGGAAGGTGACTCAAAAATTTTGAGACAAGGTCCTGTGCTTGGCGCAGACGTATGGGTAAACATCCCTGATATCTGTACCTTCTAATTCCCTACAGGAATACAGAAGTTCTCTTTTTCCATGGGAAATATGTTCCAAAAACTCCCCTGGATGGCTAACACCACGGACAGTACTGAACTATGTCCACACAGTGGCTCCTTGGTTCATGAGTGCTTTTGTTTGCCAACAACTGGTTTGGAAACAAAAGTGTTTGGCAAAATTTTTTGTTTGCAAATACTACATCACATTACAAACACAACTGTGGCTATCTTTCCTGCACAAATGCAACTGTGACCATCTTTTCCAAAGCTGTGGAACAAATTAAGTTCATGAACCAAGTAACAACTGTACTACAGTTTTTCCCAGTGTGCCCTGGAGCATGACCACAGAGAACCAGAGTTATCTGTCCTTCCATGGTTTATCCTCTGCTGTCCATCATTAAGTAAAACAGTAGATTCCTGAGTACAAGATCTGCAAAACTACCAGTCCATCTGATAACTAAATCACCACAGATGGGTAGTGGAGATAGAATGGATACTCTGGACAAAGGGATGATTCAGCTATTGAATGGGACAATGCAGAATGTCAAGAGATTTCATCATGCTGCTCAGTGAGGCAAAGAATCTGAAACTTATGAGTTGCTTATTGGAAGTTCTCACTTAGTATTTTCAAAGTATGGTTGACCTTGGGCAACTGAACTGTGGAAAGTGAAACCACAGATAAGGAGGGAACTGCTCCATAGGATAAAATCTTGAGGAAGGGAACCTAGGACAGGAAATACAGCCATTGGGCTGGGACACTTTATTTATGAGCTGGGTACTATTATAAGTGCCTCCCAGAGCCAAAGGTTACCTACTGTCTAGCTCAGGGTGCACATGTAAAACACCTCTCTATGGCTTTACAATACCACATGCTAACACATCTGTGATTACTCATTACATGTCTGTCAGCTCACTGGACTCTGCATCCTTGATAAGGGCTCAATTCTTGTCAACTATGTATGCTCTGTACAAGCACAACAGATGCTTAATAATCATATGATAATTAGCTAAGCAAATAAAGCAGTTCAAGACCAAACAACTAAGGAAAATAAGAAAGCAAAAATAAGCAAGTTAATTACATAAGAAATATTTTTAAGGGGCAATTACACGACTATATACTCAGATCACAAGGGTAATTTACTTAACTCTTAAGTTCCAAAGCAAATATTTATTGATTACATGGAAGCGGCCAAGCCCCCAGCATTGGCACTGAGAAAATAAAGACAAATGTGAATGAATATGATATTCTTCCTCATGTGAGGGAGCAGAAATTTTTAACCAGTCACATGGAAATATGACTTGGGGTAGAATAAAGGAGGGAGCAAGTTTTACATTTTAAGCATTAAACTATGAAGCAATGGGTGCCCCAATGTGACTTACACTTGGCAGAGGCCTCACTCTGGCAAGCAGGTTTGAGAAGAAGTAATGCCTTCACGAACGCTTGAAGCAAAGGATCTGAGCGTTATGGTGTTCTCTCAGCTGCACAGTGATCAAGTTTTCATTGTGTTAAACCAACCTGCTGTGTGTGTAAAGGTAGGAGTTATTTGCTCAGGCAATGCCATCCCAGATTCCAAGTCTGTGGCTTTAGTCTTCCCTCAAACTTTTGATGCCACCACATTTCAAGAAACCAGACGACTTTCTCAGTACATTCAGGCTGCTGTAACAGAGCAGCATAGACCAGGTGTCCTGTAAACAATAGAAATGCATTTCTCACACTTTAGGAGGCGGGAAGACCTAGATGAGATCTCCTCCAATTTGCAGACGGATGCAAATTTGCTGTATCCTTACATGGCACATAGAGAGCTCTCTGGGAGTTCCTTTTCTAAAAACATCAATCTCATTCATGAAGGATTCACCCTCATGACTTACCAGCTGCCCAAGGACCCAGCTCACAACACTATCACACTGGATGTTAAGTGTTCAACATATGAATTTTAGAGGCACATGAACGTTCAGAGCACAGCATATTGCAGGAGTTAGACCAATGCTTCCCAAGATTTAAAGAGCACAACAATACCAAAGGCTAGTGACAAAATGGAGATTCTCATTCAGGTATGGAATTCATCTTTTCTTGCAAGCTTTCTGCAGGCTACTATCCTCATCACACTCAATCACAAAGTCAGGGGACAGCAGAAGGTCAAAGAACTGAAGTTTGTCTTTCTATAGTTCTTGATATTTGTTTTGCCTTCCTTTCACTAAAATCTGATGGAAATAAAGAATTACAAGTAAGTATGATATGCTCAGTAATTAAAGTACATTAAGGATTGGCTGTTTTGGCAGATTATTTACATAAATTGAAAACAAATGTTTTTAAAAATTATACCAAGGACTGTTCCTTACAGAGGATGTTGTGGGTCACAAATGACACTCAGAAGGAGAAAAAGAGAGCCCAAGGCAGAAGAATTGGGAGAGTTCCATCTCTCCTCTGTTCTCCCAGATGCTCTTCTATAGCTTCAGTGAATTGAAAGCTCTGTGCTTTAAATCAGGGGATCTAGTGGACCTCCAATCACAGAGTTTGGGTTAACTCCAGCATCGGTTAAAAGAGTTAAACAATAAAGCTACTGTTTGGAAAAAGAAAGGACTGTCAGACTCCTTTAATTCTGGAAAGGCGTGTCAGGCTGCAGCAGCTTCTCAAGTCTTGACCACACTTCCAATGATGACATTAGGGGGAGCCTGGACTATGTATGGGGGCCCTCAAGGTGGAGTGCCCTTTACAACTCAGCGATAACTAGTACTGTATCGCTCCATTTTGTAGATGAGCTACCCAGGAAGCAGAGATTACACAACCTGCCCAAGGTCACAGAGCCAAAATCTAGTAATAACTTGTAAGTTGCCCAAATTCACAGTATGGCTTTTCCAAAAAAAACGCTTAGGGAAGAAAACAAACAAAACAAAACAAAACAAAACGGTAAGTCTTGAAACTGCATTACGCCGCACCTCAACCTAGCCCCTGGCCTCCGCCCTAAACATCACCTGCATTTTAGCCAAGGTAGCGCAGGGAGGAGGGAGAAGAACCACTTCCGGGATACAGACCTGCGAGCAGCAAGCACTTCCGGGGGATAGGAGATGGGGGTCGTTAAAGGTCATCTGGTTTTCAGGCTGTAGCCCACCCACACTTCGTGCTAAAAGGTTTGCAGGGTTAACACGTAGCTCTGGCTAGCGAAACAGCACGGCTCTTGTCCAAATAGCCTTTCCCATCGCCTGTGCTCAAAAGCACCGCGGCCGACCGACCAAGTAGGCGCCGCCATGTTCCGACCCGCGTTTAAATAGAAAAGGCGGGGCCGGGGAAAAGCACGGCGACGGGCGTGATGACGTCACAGAGAAGGTGGTGCAACATTGGAACCGGACCTTCTTGGGCGGACACAGCGAGCATATCCCAGCCCTGATAGGTTAATCTCCATTGAGTGACAGCACCGTCCTGCCTTCTGGTTAGGGTTGGGGCGGGGGGAGGGCCTATCGACACGGAAGTGCCTGAGGCCGGCATGGGTAGGATGAGATGTGGAAGGGCGGTCTTGGGTGGGTTGCGCAGTGCCAGGGGTCGTGGTGGTTTAAATCTTGTCTGGCTTATCCGGCGCCGCCTGACCACCTGGAAGTAACTCCCCAAATCCCACTCCGTCCCCTTCTTGCACAGATGCAATATAAAGTTTGCCTGCTTATCCTGCAGCGGCTGAACCCCGTGCAGGTAGCAAAGGACCTTAGCAATAAGCAGTCCCCAAATTGTCCTGAGCTCCCTGCATTCACCTCAACTCAGTGCCCTGGAATAAGAGTCCTTGAGCCCCAAGCAAAACTTCAGGACTTCAGAGTGGGCAGCCTTTTGGCGCCATGATTTAATTCCTGTGGACATACTCCGCCCGCTCAGACAATGGGAAGCGCAGGCGGTGTTTTTACATTTAGATGTGTTGCAAGGGCATCTCTTGAAGCCGACAGTTGCTTGCATCAGTCATGATTTTCAGTTTTGTGTTGAGGTACTTGGTAGTGAAACACACTGCTCCTGAGTAACAGCTAATTGGATTATTGATTGTGGGTATCAGTGTTTTTTAAAAATAAAAATGCTTACCATAGAAATGAAGGAGGGGATCAGGGACCTGTATCTGAGATGTGTTGTTCATTAGGAATTTGATGCGATTTCTGATAATTTACTCTTTTCTCACCACAATAGTAACCACTTCCTGCAAAACGTTCCAAAAGGTCAAGAAAAAAAAATTGCCGACTAGAATTTAGACATGTTTCTCGCCAAGTAATTAAACGTTAGATCGCATAGTCTATGTACTTAATAGCTATAGAATGTTGTTATATTACTTTTTAATGAATAAGGCCATTTTAGGCGGTCAAGGTGAGCAGCAAAAAGAGTATTTCTTTGGAAGTTTCTTGGATTTATTTAGAATCAGTTGAAACGGCTGTACTTAAGGTAGAGCATTATATATGAAAAGCAGCACTGGAATGGCGATCAGTATAAAATTACACAGCGTGTGGGATGAGGGATAGCAATTCACGGCATTTTTCTTTTTTGTAGCTCTGCCAGTTCCGCAGCGAGCATGAAGCCCATCAACTTGTCCTTTGCAGCCTGTGGATTTCTGGGCATTTACCACTTGGGGGCAGCAGCTGCACTTTGTAGGCACGGCAAGAAGCTCCTGAAAGACGTCAAGGCGTTTGCTGGGGCTTCTGCAGGATCCTTGGTTGCTTCTGTCCTACTAACGGCGCCCGAAAAAATAGAGGTAATTCAGTAGTAACTAGGCTGTGTTCCTCATCAAGAAATTAAGAGGGATGGCAACAAGGAGTGTGGGCTCCACTGACGGCTGGGGAATCAGGCTTTGTCTGGGAAAGAAAAGATTAACACTTTTCTTTCAAAATTAACTCTTTGAAGATCTGGGCTTTGAGGATTTAGAAAAGATTTATTTGGGCTGACAGTAAGTCAAGGAAAAAAAAATGCCTTATTTTACTCTTGAGTTTTTATTTAGCCTAAAGAGACCCTGTTTCTTTTAAGTGAAGGATATTTCCTCGTGCTATGATCATGAGAACTGAGAGCCTGTTTGCGAGACCTTGAGCATGTAGCCCGTGCGCACTCCTAATTTGCAAGCGGGCATACAAAGGAAACTGGGCATACCATTTCAATTAAGTGGAGTGATAGGGGAATTTAATTTGTTTTTAATTCTCGCAGAGAAGCAGCTCTGAATTCCAGGCAGTTTAACCAAAAGTGATAAAAATAGCCTTCAGCAGGTATTTTCTTTAATGCGATCTATGTTTTTAAAATGCTTTTTCAGCTGTCTAGACAGTGAGCAAGCATTTGATCACAGTGAGAGCTGGTTTCTATGGATGGAGAAAATATTTATTAATTACTTACACAGTCTAGTGGCTTTGAACAGTTATAAAATAGGGGTTTAACACATTCCTGCTCAAGAAAGAATCTCAACACTGCAAAATTTTAAACATTGAAGTCTCGTCCATAAATCTGTTTGTGAGTTGCTTATGGAAGGGAAACGGGACTTAAGGCCAATTTTTCAGAAATCCACTAATCCTTCTCTTTAGATGATTGATTTACAGGGAACTAAAGAACGTGACTAAAAACTAGCAATTACACAGGGTATGAACCGTCAAGAAAAATACAAATAAGGTGGGAAAACTACTCTCAAGGTACCAGAATTCTCTCCCTTGAATTCCAAACTAGCTCCTTCCCACAACTTCCTTCTGTTTTATGGGAGTAGTAGTGGAAGATTATTGTCTTTTCTTTAAGACAGTCTTTCCTTTAGGTGGGGCAAGTCTTGAGCTCTGGAGTTTAGTAGACTTGGTTTCCATCCTCAGCAAATTTAAAGATGTACAAAGTGATTCACATATAATGTGATGTGGAAATAGTACAATAATAATAATTTGGTGACGTTAAGACATTGAATGGCTTACCTGAATTTAAAACCTTATACCATATTTTCAAAGCACAATACCTGTTCTTTTCTTAAATTGGGTATCAGTCCTGTGGTCTAATTGTGTTGGAAGGAGGTACAAGGTAAACATATTGGCTCCTGACATTGGAAGGTGGAAAATGATTCTTTTTATTGACCGAGGGCGTCTTCATTTCTCCTGTTTTCCAAGCATTTTTTTCAACAAAAATAATCTTTTGATGTATGGTTCTTTTATCACAGGCAAAATAACTCCCAGCCTCTTAGATGTCAGATGTGCTGAGTTCTCGTCTCATAACGTTGAGGAATGAAGTTGCAAACTTCAAGAGGAAGTTAGGAGAGCTGTTTTGGAAATAAGGAGAAGAATAGCTCTTGGATTCCAGGAGGGGTCCCAAGCTCGTGGCCACCAAGGCCCTTTGTCAGGGGTAATTGATACAGCCAAATCACAGTGTGGGTGCAACATGGGTCCAACGACAAAGAAGCAACTAAGAGGAGTGCAAATATAACTGCTCATGTAACATTGACCCAATAGGGAAACGAGTCAAATAGCAGGGGTATGTGGAAAAAACAAAGACATTCTTGGAAAGGGATGAGTCCAGATGGTCTGGTCACCCACCCATGCATCTGATACCTTTCTGGGCTCCCTGGAGCATGTGGTGCTGATCAGTCTAATATAAAATTGCCATGTATCTCTAGGGAGGCTCGAAGGCCTGGGTCTCTTTAGATTGACTTCCAGCCACAGTCTCTGTGTATCTCATCTTCTACACTTTCTCAAGGACCCTAACCCTTTCTGACTGCATATTAATTCTGTCTAACTTAGCTGCTTTTACTAATTTTATTTAATCCCTTTAGCATTTGGAATAATCCATTTGTAGGACTTTTCCTTTTCTCCTTTCTTTTATCAATTCTTTCAGCCTACCAAATGTGTGTTACCCTAGTTCTCACTGATGGTGTAAGTTCCTTGAGCTCTTTACTGTAGTGATGACTATGTGAGTGATTAATCTTGCTCAGAGCTTGTGCATGTATAATTAAGATGAGCACCTGATGCTGGGTGTATTTTAGGTGGTAGGCAAATTTAGACTTTGATAGATAAAAGGTCAATGCAAAACTTCCCCCAGCCCTCATAGGCTACAAGGAAGGCCTGGTGTTAAAATGAGCAGGGAACTCCAAGGGGAAGAAGTCCCTTTGTTAGTAAGTTTACAGTCTGGTTGATGTACATGTATGTAACTAAAATTAATACTAGAAAATGAGCTAAAGGGGCCACCCCAGCTTAGAAGATATAAGCACAGACACAATTGAGAGGGGCTGCCCCGTTTCTGTCCTAGACAGGTGGACCTACAATTTACCAGCTTCACACTACTTAGTGATTTTCCCCAAATGCAGATCTGATTATCTCATCCCCCCTTGCCCTGAAGCTCCCTGTAGATGTTTCAGCAAGCTTCACAACATCGCACATGACCTTCATCCTTCTCGTGGCTTGCTGCAAATACCCATGTTAGTGCTGTGCCCCTCTCAGAGCTGGTTTTGTTGTTGTGTTTAGCATTGTCCTCCTCCATCTCCATCTCCATCTCCATCGCTTGTCCAGCTCCAGTTTGCATGTAAGGTCCCAGGCTAGATATCAGATTGGAGGGAGGCTTTGGCCGAGCTGAGGCCCATTGTATTCATTTCCTGTGGCTACTGTAACATGGCTGTCAATGTGTTGCCTTCACACAATAGGAATTTATTCTCTTATAATTCTGTAGTCGTCAGTGTGATACAGACTTTCTGAGCTCAAATCAAAGTGTCAAGAGGGCCACTCTAGCTCCCTACTGAGATTCAATCCACCCTTTTTCTGATTCCTAGTGGCGGCCTACATTCTTGGACTACCAGCCCCTTCCTGTGTCTTTAAAGTCAGAAGCATGACCTCCACAGATTTCTTTAGCTCTGACCCTCCTGCCTCCCTCTTCCCCTTATATGTCCAGCAGCTTCACGTTACAATACCAAAACACCTGAGGTCATTAACTCACAAAGAGAAAATATTTATCTTTGCTCATGATTTTGGAATTTCCAGCCCAAGATCAGGAAAAACTATTGAGCCTCTGATGGGAATACCACATAGCAATGGCAGGAGCACACAGTGGGCAACACAAGTCACCAATGGCCCGGAAGCAAAAAAAAGAAAAAAAAAAAAAAAAAGGGAAAGGAAGAGACAGGGGTCCCAAATCCACCTTGCAAGCAAACCCCCTGCAAATAGGGACCTCCCACCAGTCCTGCCTCCTACAGTCCTTAGTACCTCTAAGTAGCACCTCCCTGTAAAACAAGCCTGTAACACAAGGACCTTTAGCGGTGTGCAACATCCAAACTCTTGTACCATAATGGAGCTTCATAATAACTGGACCACTAATGGCCCTAGATGATCCAGGATCATTGATCTTACTCCTGATATGTCAACTTCATTAGGCTGAGAAACGCCTAGCAGGTTAGCACATGTGGTGGAAGACGTGAATGTGTGGCCTTGGGTGCTATGTACGGTCCCTCCTCCATTCTCTGGCGCTCTTCTCCTGCTCTGCTTCCTGCTGCTGTGAACTGAGCAGCTTTGCTCCACCACGTCCTTCCGCCGTTGTGTTCCTGCCTTGGAGCCAGCGGGCTGGGGGCTGCATTCCTCAGAACTGTGAGTCAAGGGGGGATTTAGCTCAGCGGCAAAGCACCTGCCTGGCAAGCGCAAGGTTATGAGTTCGATTGCTGCTACTGGAAGAAAAACCAAAAAACCAAAAACAAAAGAAAAAAAAAAAAAAAGAACTGTGAATCAAGTCAAATCTCTCCTCTAAGTTGTGAGCTGCAGCAAAAAACTGACTCATACATTCTCCTTCTGAAAACTGTTAACTTAATTGAACCTGTGAAGTCCTTTGGAGAGCTGTAGGTTATCGTAAGTTCAATAGCAGAACATGGAAACCTTAAGGAGAGATAAGAGATCTTGAGTTTGTCCCTGAGGAAGGTTCGCACAGAACTCTATAATCTGTTCTTGGAGGCACTTGCGCATCTCATGAATCAGGGCCTCTTTATATATATGTATATATATATTTTTTTACTGAATCTTGGAGTATAGATCAGTAGTAGAGTGTGTGCCTAGCCTGTGCAGTGTCCTGTTTATTTCCCCAGTGCTGAAAAACAAAAAGTCCACCAGATCTCAATGACTAGCTGAGTGCCTGGGACCAGGTACTTTGCTGACTCAATCAAATAATAGATGAGTGTGCTGAAGTAAAATAACAAGTCTCCCTTAAGGAGATAAGAAAATAGCTTCTTCTGAGCCAATTTGAGTGACCATGACCCAGAACCAAGGATTCCGATGACCTTGAATGTCATCTTATCCCATGGAAGGGGTCACATGAACCTTTACGGCCACAGAACAAAGATGGTCAGGAATCAATACATTTACCAAGTATGTTGGTGGAGCATTAAGTAGGAGGGCCGCAGCAAAGCTGGGAAGTATTTAGTACAGGTTTCAGATGTTGCTCCTAGAATTCTTAGTTTTAGGGTTGGCAGAGGCCAGAAGTATGTGGAATTTATGGGCAGATTCTGAGAGGCTTGCTTGTAGTCAGGAGAATGTTAGGTCAGATACAAAACTTAAGCCCAGTAACCTTTGAAGGGCAGAAGATGGCCCAACTGCATTTCAGTTCTCATCCTACAGTATCCACAGTTGTACTGCTCTTGTCAGCCAAGGTCAAGCACCCTTTAAGATCTTTAATATCCACATGCCTTCTTTGGGCAACTTCAGTCCAACGAAAGACAGACCTGGGTTGAAACCCTGACTCTGGCACCAATTTCTGACGAGCTACTCAGACATACCTGATCCCTCCAAGCCGCAGTTTTCTTTGCTGTCCAGTGGGAAGGAGGTTTAGTCCCACCTTGCAGGGTTAGGTGACAGTAAAGTGACAGAACGTCAGGACCTCAGCATATTCCAGCCATGGCTGCACACAATACCAGGGCTCAGGATGGATCTCCAGAGCCTCTCTGATCTCAGGACGGGCATCCCAAGGCATCCCCGCTTTCCTTTGTCACTCATCATCATCAGCATTCTCAGGACAGTGCATTCCAGATGCTTCTGAGGCCACAAACTCAGGGTGGACGAGGAACTTAATTGTGTATGCAATCTGCAGAAGACTGTGCTAAATTAGAATTTAAATCAAGCTTTCAAGGCTGTCTCACGTGTGGACGAAGGCCATTTGAATTGGTTTAAAAAGAGTGACAGAGGAAGAGAGAGAAGGGAAGGGAGGGGAGGGGTGAAGAGAGGGGGGATGGGAGGAAAGATCGGAATTGTGAGAAGATATAATTTGCCTAGTGACCAAGAACACAGAACATAGCAAAGCGCATGCCCTGTGGAATCTAGGCAGAGGTTTAGAACTGGAACATTTGATTTGGTAACACAAAGGATCACCTATGAATTTTCTCTTTCAGGAATGTAACCAATTTACCTATAAGCTTGCTGAAGAAACCAGAAGACAGTCTCTCGGGGCAGTGACGCCCGGTTATGACATCATGGCCCGACTGAGGTATCTGTTTATATAGTGCACTTGCCCGTGAACTATATGAAACCAGTGTTGACAGCTCTCCCTAGGAACTGTGGCAAACTCAGCACTGAGTCTTCTAAAATATTTACGGGGCCTTCAATAATTAAAGGTGAATAATGTGGCTCTCTTTTTCTTCTTTAGGAGCGGAATGGAGTTGATTCTTCCTTCCAACGCCCACGAGCTGGCCCAGAATCGACTGCATGTATCCATCACCAACACCAAGACCAGAGAAAATTACCTGGTCTCAAATTTTTCCTCCAGGGAAGACCTCATTAAGGTAACAAAGCCACATTTCCCATTACAGGAAGTCAACGAGCTCCCATTTGTGTACTTTTTACAAATAATGAGCATCTCTGAGTTCTTTAGATCTCTCATCTCATATCAGGCCTGCTAGATGATAAAAGCTCAGCGAATTACTTCTTTGATGAATGGCTCCACCACGCTCCTCTCAGAGCCTGTGATCCTTGACTTTATCTCTGTTTTTCTCCTCATGTTCATGCATGTAATGTGAAGCAACTTGGGGATGTGGTTGAGGAGCTCTAATACTTCCTTACATTTCTGTGGCTAACAGTTTGCAGTCTAGATAAGATTTCCCTATGTGCTTTAGCCTTCCATCCACCACCGGCCCTTCTGTAAATCAGGTAGGACAGGTGTTGCTTTGGACCTTTTTTATCTTAACAAAGAAGAAATGGGTAGAAAGGCTTTATGGGATAGGCGTGCATACCCATAAATATCCTGCATGCTATTGTGAACCAATTCTGGTATCCAGGTCTCTCGGCTTTTCAATCTCATGTTCTGTTTCATTTCTTCCACTTTGTTTTGAGGCCTCTCTACCCAAACCCATTTGAGAGTCGACTGGCTGGAGAATTCATTATCTCTGAGAAATACTTCAGCTGACTGAGTCCCAAGTAAGAATGCACTTGCTAAGGTAATACACTGAATATCTGTAAATTGGAAAGGCTGTGCTTTCCTTAGGAAACCCAGGAAGATTTTTCTTCCTTCTTCCTTTTGCATGAATTTGGAATTCATGAATGCAGATTCAGCTAGTATGGAGAAAGTATGATTCCATGGTAATAAGCTGAATGAGAGTGAGTGATGAAGGTTCCTCTTGAATTAAATACAAACGCATTTTTGAAAAAGATCTTCTGGATGGTATAATCAGAAAGCTTTAAGGAAATGTTAAATTGACAAGTAAAATTACTTTGCAGCTTAATGGATTAGAATATTTATCTCTCACTTATATGTTAATAGTCTTTCTAACTTAGAAAAATATATTTCTCTATAATATGATTATAACACTTACTATAATATTATGTAGACTTAGACAATGTAAAAGGAAGATCTGGTCCAGCCATGCCTGAACTGTCCTTGCTTGTCAGTGTCCAGCTCAGACTTGGGTTGGGCTGGGTTGGGTTCGTACCTCTTCTGGTTTATCTGCAGAGAGATATATGCTATTGTGCCTTAATGCAAGAGGATGCTACTTCTCTAGTTGTCCCCTTTCTTTTGTCTTATTATTTTAATTGGCACATAATGTTTGTACATAGTGTGATATTTGATACATGTGTCCAACGTAATGATCAAATCTGGACAATTATCCATCACCTTCAGCATTTATCACTTTTTTTTGTGTGTGTTGAGAATATCCAAATCCCTTCTTTGAACTATTTTGAAGTACAAAATATTATTAACTGTACTCAGCCTGCTATGCTATGGAACGTTAAAACTTACTCTTCTTATCTAATTATATTTTGCTTCCTAATAACTATCCTCTTTGTGTCCACCTTACACCCTTCCCAACCACTGCTAGCCAGAGTTCTGCTCTCTTCTATGAAGTCAGTGGTTTTAGCTTCCACAATGAGTAAGCTCGTGTAGAGCTTGTCTTCCTATGCCTGGCTTGTTTCACTGATGGTAATGTCTTCCATCTCCATCCATGTCACCACAAATGAAAGATTTCATCTTCTTATGGATGAATAGTATTCCATTGTATGTATGTACCACATGTTCTTCATCCCTTCATCCGCTGATGGACACCTCTTAACTGTTGTAGGGAGTAATGCAGTATGGGAATGTTGACATCTCTTCGATATCCTACTTTCATTTCCTTTGAACGTATACCCAGGAGTGGGCTAGCTGGGTCATGGGGCTGTCACCTTCTGTCATTGAGCCCCTGGCTTCTCCACCTGTAATGCCAGAACTCTTTGATCTTCACTGGTATCCCACCTTAATTTACTTACTACTGTTTTGAATACTACATACTGTGCTGCTTTGTTCATTTAGTTTTTGTTTGTCTTCCCTCAGTAGAAGGTAAGCATCAAGATAGGTAGTGATTGCTCTGTTTTCCCTACAAACACATCCCCAACACCTGGGCACACTGACAGCCACCATGTAGATACTCCATGAAAAAGTGTGAAACAAATTAATATAAACAAACTAGGGTGGCATCTATTACAGTGGTCTAACTAAGCGAGGCCTTATGTGTGCAGAGACCTGGGCAAAATATCATAGCCAGTGAGCAACCCAACTGGGAGGACAGTGCATGTCTCCAGTATTGTGCTTTGGCCATGCCTTAGGCTGGATGAAAGATCATCTTTTCCATCCCTGTTGGGAGTGAGAATATGGTAAACACAATCCCAGCCCCCAACTAATCCATACTCGATGCCTCAGAACCTGTGAAGATAGAACCTTACATTGCAAAAGGGATTTAGATTTGATTAAAGTAAAAATCTTGAGTCTCGATGATCCCAGTAGATCCAAACGAAGTACATGAACTCAGAACAATGGAGGTCTTCCCTAGGTTTGATGGGCCACCACTTATTCTTTGATATGACAGCCATGGGCAAGGAGCGATTTGCTAAGAACAGCTCCCCTCTGACAGCCAGCAAATTTTGAAAAAGGCCCTCTGCCCTGCAAATACATGGAAAAAACCTCCTCTGACATGTGTATGAGCCAGAAAATATTTCTCCCCTTGAGACTCCAGGAAGAAATGCAGCCCCTCTGACAACTGGATGTGTACCTGCTAGTGCACTAGTCCCAGAATCCTGACCTGCAGATTGCATGGTCATAAATATGTCTTGTTTGAAGCTCTTAAATTGGTAGTACTTTGTTATAGCAGCAGTAGCAAGCTATTGCTATGAGTAAACATGACTTTTTTTTCTGTTTCTTTTGTTTTGGATAATAGCTACTTAGAGAATTGGTGTAATTATTTGAGTTCATTGAACAGAAGAGAAATAGCTAACACCAATGTGTAACACCTTGCAGGGAGAATATGGAATAATTAACATTTATCCTAGGTTATACAAAGAATGTTCTCTGTTTAGTAGCACTCCTTAACCTTTTCCACAACTGAAACAAAACAAAGAGAAATAGTTCCTTCAAAGCAGGTGGTAACCATAAAAAGGTATGAAATAGCTGCCTAGAATATACAGGATGCATTTAATTTAAAAGAATAAGAAAAGGAAGATGGGAAGTAAAGGAGCAAACAAAACAGGATGGAAGGGGAAAAAAATTAACCTCCTGGCTGGTTTATGACATTTGCAAGTTTAAGACTAGTGGGAGAAGGTTGTCTCATTGGTTCTACCAAACCATCTTTGCCCACCACACCAAATGCTAATCATTCAAACAATGAATTTTGCAAAAGAAACTGTATCTACAAGGCAGCCAACCATGGAGACAGAAGATCCAAATCACAAGCAAAGAGAACTACATGGGCTGAGAGTCAGAGAATTAACAAGTCCAAAGTGTTGGTTTGTGTACGTGAGACTAGGCCAGCTGAGTGTATGGACTGGCAATGATGACAGTTACTGTTCTGTCTTCCAATGGACACTTGCAGGCTAGAGTCTTATTTTTTTATATGCCTCTCAGGTCTTTGAGAGAGGTTTTTGAGCTGCAAAAGACACATATATGAGCCCTCATTTTAATAAGTGCCCAGTCAATGGCTGTGTGATGGTTGATACATTGTGTCAAACTGAGAAGTTTAGAAGCTTAACTAAATGATTCACCAGTTCTACATCCTAGGGTGTAGAGAACATGCCCTAGGGTGTCTGTTTATGCCCTAGGATGTTGTAATGGTTAATGCACTATATCTATTTGAGGAGTCTAGAAGTTTAACTAAGTGACTCAGCAGTTCTGCATTCTAGGGTGTAGATGACATGCCCTAGGGTGGCTGTTTGTGCTCTAGGATGTTGTGATGGTTGATTCTTTGTGTCAGTTTGAGTTTTGAAGGTTAACAAAGTGATTCAGCAAGGGGCTAGGGTCCTCACTTTGTAAATATCCTGAGCTTATGTAAGAGTAGAACATGGAGATGGTGTGAGTACTATACTTGCCCAAGGGCAAGTAGCCTGCATACAATCTAAGGGAGGAGAAGAGATGTGTTGTCCCCCTTTTCCTTTTGTTGCTGTTGCTCTCTTCTACCACCATGAACAGTTGCCTCTCAGCCATGCCACCCTGCCTTGGAGCCAGCTGATTACAGAATGAAACCTCCACAAACTGTGAGCTAAATGAAACTTTTCTTCCTTACTTTTGGGTGTTGGGTATGTTGTCTCAGCAATGAGAGCGATATAATTAACACAGCCTACTTCTCATGGAAGAGCAAGGTTTCACTTTCAATGGAACCACATAAGGGTGGTGTTTCATTCATTTCTGGTCATGGAGGTTAGGCATACAAAACCCACCCCTTCCCTTAGGTGGTATATTAATCAACTTTCTTATTGCATGACACCCATAACTTGAAGAAGGAGAGGTTTGATTTAGCTCGTGATTTCAGACACTTCATGCCATGCTCAGCTGGCTCAAAGGCAGGAACATCATAACCAAAGGATGTGGTAGGGAAAAGTTGCTCACTTTATGATGGCAAGAAAGAAGAACAGGAGAACAGTGCCAGAGAGGAAGGGGTTGGGAACCAGACATAGACCCAAAGGTCACATCTCCATGACCCACCCCCACACAGCCAGGAGTGTGCTTTACTAATCCTCTTAGATGGCTCCCAGGCCAATCAAGTTGGCAATTAAACTTAACAAATCACAGCTAGAGATGGGAGGTTCTGAAATGCTAAAGCTGTGCGGGGAAGCACCCTGGTTTGTGTCACTTCGAGTGTTCCAGTAGGTTTGTGTCTGGGAACATGTAACCTTGAGGTGAGGCTACATTGCAATATATGGAAATCTATAGGAGGCAAGAAAGAGGAGGGAAGAGAAAGGAGAGGAGAAAGAGAGAAGAAGGAGAGAGGTAGAGGGAGGGAGAATGGAAGAGAGAGGGAGGAGGGGGAGAAGGAGGAGGGAGGAG